TTGGAACGTAGAAATGTTATTTCCTAGTTGTTTCCAGTAATAACTAGATCAGATTACATACTGCGTTAAGATTTTAATAAATCCTACCACATACGGACTGACAGACGTCAACGAAGGAGGTCGGAGTTCCTTGGTCCGGAAATTGTTACGTGTAAAACGCAACAAATACAAATTCACGACTGCTGTTAAGAATGCATAAACTATCTTCGTAACGTGAACTATTTATTATCGTACTATAGGTACAATTATAAGCGGTGGTATGAGATCGGAACGAAACAAGGAAACAAGACTCCGACGAATGTTGACTAGAGTTGAAATGTCGACATAAAAGAAAGGTATTTCACCGTACCAATAAGTATTTATAACTAGCTCTAGTTTTCATACAACGAGTAATGTGGGACATTTCTTTGAGCGTTCGTGTGTGTGGCGTCGAAATGTGTGTATGACATAGAGCGCTTCGTATACTAAAGTGTTTCAAGTACGGGGCCTTACTTTTAGCGTACACAAGCCCGGCAAACACATACAGTTTACAGCTTCAGTCGAAACGTACTCCCGTGAAAAAGGGTTTTGGCGAGGCCTACTCATTCAAGTTTCCCCCCGTGCAACCAAATCATTTTCCGGTTTTTGTCGCCCTCCGTCTTCCCTCTCCCTCCCAATAATCCGGGTGTAAAAAGTTACAAAAGGAGTACTTAATTTATACATAAAGGTGGGGTAGGTAAGTTTGAGAAACCGGCTCGAGATACACTTTTTGTTATATTCCATGGAATGCTCTTAACATCCTGATAGCAATGAATATCTTAAGTGCTTTGACAAAAAATCCATAACAAAATGTCATCTGTGGAAGCCGTAGTACTGTAAAAAGCACGACCAATCATCTGAGCCGGCCCGGCTAAAGTAACTGGATGGCCTACCTGCCTGTCAGCCTTCCATCTGTGCACAAACTTATCTCGTGCCTTCATTGGTCATGTGCGCGTTCGTGTGTGTTGGAGGAGGGGCTCTCTGAGGAAGTGGCAGATTTTTTCTGGTTGTGTATTTTCAAATTCTAGCGCACTCGAGCTGGTTTCTCCAAAATGACCTACCCCACCTTTAAGTACAGTACTTGAGTAAATGTACTAAGTTATTTTACCACTGTAGTTTACGGTGGTGACCAGACTGCATTTCATATTTTAATGGATTGCATTAGATTGTACAGCTGTTTCCTAATAAAGAGGCCCCTGGGTGCATACACTGTGTATTGCAATACAAAAACAGACATATTCACTCTCTGCTGCACTAAAAACAAATAATCACAATGTCCAATGACAACTATGCAAGAGTCAATATTCTTATTCTTTTTTGTTTGCAGTTATTGGGCGGATGGTGGGTCAACGGGGAATTGTGGGATCCTGAACAGTGATAAACCAGCAGAGAAAAACTGGAGAAATGTTCCCTGTGGGGTCTCCACCTACTTCATCTGTCAGCAGTAGCTCTGACCGCTTCTGCTCTTTCTTTACGAATTAATGAGGAAACCAATTTCCTGTCAACAAGCAGCAACTCCTCCGTAACATTTCAAACCATCTCTCCTTCACTTCAAATGAGTAATAACCAGCATTGAAAGATTTTATATATAAAGATATTATAGTTCAATATTTAACGCTTGAAAAGAGATATAGTCAGTCTATTATATATTATATTTGTGTGTAGCATTGTGTTGTCTTACTGTATAATTGAATGATCTGCTGTTCTTTTTCTTCAAATGACTGTGGCCAGTTTCTTTCAACAAGGTTTTATTGTTATATAAAAAGCAACTACATAATAAGTTGAATGTCTATGTTTCACTTTATTTGAGCTAAGCATATATTACTGCTACATATGTTTTACATTGCTACAAAAATAACACATTCTTTTCTAAAGCATAATACTGCAGGTACAAGTATGGACACATTTACATGTACAAGTATGTTCAGGACTTTAAGATGAAGGTCAGGAGATCGCTCTTCAGGCTCAGGCTGAATGTCTTTCTAAACATATTTAATGTCCTGGTCCTCGTCCGAATCCTCATTCTCCATCTCCAAACCCAAAGTGCTGTGGCGAATCATCTGCCATCCTGTCAGAGACTTCCTGTTGTTTAGACCCCCTCTGTGTTTAGGTCTGAGTTTAGGGGTCCCTGAGATGGACCCCTTCATGGTGTCCGTCTTTTCCATTCCCTCCTTTTCATTCTCCTCCTCTCTGGAGAAAGCCTTGACGTACCGCCGCATCTTTTGCAACATTGGGTCATTTCTGTCCTCAACCCTGTGGACGTGGTAGAGGGGAAAACTGGTTAGAGTTGCTTCAAGGGAAATACTTTCACCATGGTAACCATTCAGTATTTAGAATTGCATCTCCTTTAAGTCGAAGGACTAAGAAGAGACATCTCATAGAACGAACGGTTAACATGACGCAGCAGAAAACATCCTAATGCACGGTCTCTAGTATGGGTAAAACTCCAGTCATAACTATGTTTCCCATAATGCAGCTGATAGCATTCCTTGTTGGTCATTATCTTATTTTCTCAGACTTGAACATGCTCCTCCAGAGCCATTAAAGACCTGCCAGGCTGAGTAAAAGGTGAAGCGCCCCTATACTGTAGCATGCCTTTAGGTAACCTGCATGATATAACATGTTGACAGCTGTTGTGGCAGTGCTGTTGTATGTGGATCACATCACTCCTGTTCTGAAGTCTTTAAAATGGCTTCCTGTGTTTCAAATAATTGATTTCCAAATATTGCTGCTGCTGGTTTATAAAGCTTTGAATTGTTTAGGCCCAAAATACATTTCTGACCTCCTGCTAAATTATGAACCATCCAGAACTCTCAGGTCTTCAGGGACTGGTCAGCTTTCTGTCCCCAGAGTCAGAACTAAACATGGTAAAGCAGCGTTCAGTTATTCTGCTCCAAATATCTGGAACAAACTCCCAGAAACCTGCAGGTCCGCTGCAACTCTGACTTCTTTTAAATCCAGGCTGAAGACTTTTCTTTTTGCTGCTGCTTTTAATTGAACTATTCACTGTAACTTTTATTCATGTATTTTTTTTTCTTTTAATGTTTATTTTTTCGTCTTTGCTTTTGAATGACTGTTTTTAAATGCCATTTTCTTAATGTCTTTCATTTTTGTAAAGCACTTTGAATTGCCTTGTGTTGAAAGGTGCTATATGAATAAACTTGCCTTGCCTTGATGCTGGTGGAGGGTTGGGATAATAATAGAACTACGAGAGTGAGAGTTGTGCCTCTTACTCACAGCACAACATGACAGCATTAAAGGTGACTTAGATTGTGGTCAGCGGACAAACTTCTCTCTGTATGATTAGTTTGAGCCAAAATAGTAAGCCTAAAAAAGATTTCTTGCTGATGTCATGTTACTGAAATTATGCAATATATTTGTTTGTTTTTTAAAACAACATCTTTGCTATTGATATGATAGTAATTTAGGTGTGTTTCGTATTTAAAGAAAGTGGCTAAATAATTGTGCAAGAAGTCTGTGGGTTCACAATTGGGAGAGAATATTGTAAATGTCAAACACTTTTATCAAAAGTATTTGTTTATATTGTTATCTGAATGAAGAAAAGGTATGTAAAGAGTTGGCAGTGGAGTATAGGAACTCGTTTTCCATGGAACTTCAACCCCTTTTTGATGTGTTCGAAACATAAAAAAAGTGTTTAATGTTTTTTATAAAAGCCAATAGGGTCCCACATGGACTGACTTTTTTCTAACAACAGTTGTGGTTCTTATGAAATGTATCTCACATGAGACATTTCTGTAAGTGTTTTTGACTTTACTCTTTTGGATGGTTTGAAGGGGACATGACTCAATTGTGAAAATTCATGTTTTTTGGGCACCAATCAGGTCATTGTCAGGCAAATCTTATCAAACCAGACCCAAACTGTCCTGACTTTTGAGAGATTTAGTAATACATTTTACTTTTACAGAATTTTCTTTTTTTTATCTGGTGTTTTTTTGCTGTCTCACCTGAGATACCAGCACTCCCTCAGTCCGTAGTTGAGCCCACATACTCCGAGCCGAGGCCAAAGGCAGCGGGGCAGCTTCCTCTCCAGCATCAGAGTCGTGGCAACCACCTGTACAACACCATTAAAGAGTGTTATTACACACACAGTGATGCACAGGGACGTGATGATGAGATGATTTTATACATTTAGGTCTATGTCTATAGATTGTAGTCCATGGGAGTGTGTGTGTGTTACCTGAGTCCTCCAGAGCTCGTCTCTCTCCTGGGCCACCCTCCAGTGTGTGTCACTCATCATGGCTATCAGCAGATTTAGCAGGAGGATGTAGGAGACGACAGAGAAGGTGCAGTGCAGGACGTGGACGATCGGGGGGGTGGTGATGGTGTGGTCTACAGGCAGATCTATGAGGCCCACGCTGAGCTCAAACTGGGAGAAGAGGGTGATGGGGAAGGAGCGATATGAAGGGATGGAGTCAGGCTCCTGCGTCATATACACCATCCACAGGGCTGAGAAGAAACATGTAAAAAGTATGTGAGTGTACATCATCTGATATCAAGCATTTCTTATCTTTCAAGCTTCGTGAAGGTTAAATACTTGTTTGTGCATGTCGCCCAGAATATACTCACAGCTGGAAAAACCAATGAGGACTATGAAACTCAGCCACATAAACTTTGTCAGGTCTCCAAATATAATCTAGGGGGAAATGAGACACATGGTAGGTCAGTCTGCAAACACAAATAGGTTAACCTCAAGAACCAAAACAACAAATGAACACATCTGCTTCAAAACATTTCAGTACAGCTGTGTGTGAGTGTGTGTAACAAACTACTACACTACGTGACTCATGAGCTACCATTGCATGCACCACTGTTTCTGAGCCCTACCTTCTGTATCATGATGACATAAGGGCCGAGCATTTCAAAACCTCGGGCGAAGAACATGACGTTGCTCCAGCCGAGGACCAAACACACTGACATCACCACGTCCTCTCCCTGCACCTCGCAGGCTCTGAACACACACAGCAGTACCACCAGGCACGCGTAGCTGATACTGGTTCAAATAAAACAGAGAGGTTAAAAGGGAATTTCAGATCAGTTTGGCTCATTTTCTGCAAATACGTGTTTTCTACTCACAGGATAACATGGAAGGGGCCTCCCAGTGCTGTCTGGCCAAAATAGCGCTTTGCCCCCACTCTCAGTATATCAGGGATCTTTTGGAAGAGGGAATACAGGATGATGTGGCAGTGCAATACACATACATACAGTATGTAAAACATGTTTCATAACTTCACCTCCAGCACCAGGATGACAAAAGCTCCCAGGAGGCTGATTATCTCGCCCGCCAGCCGCACGTTGTCCTCATGCGTCACATAACTCTCCTGAGTGAGGAGACATAGATGTGTCAATATTAAAAGCACATTATTTTCAGACAATGCGGCACATGCAGGTGCAAAGTTTGACATTTACACAGGGAAGTATGAACAGCGTATATATAAAAGTGTATAGGTCTAACTATTAACTAGGTCTAACTTAAGTGAGGTATACAAATCCTTCATTACAACTGAAAGTATAAAAGTATTACCAGTAAAATGTTTCAAATTAAGATATGTATGTTAATATACAGCGCCTTAAAAAGTACGCAGTAGCATGAAATCAAAAGTAATCAAGTCAACTACCGTGTACTTACTGTATGAACACAGTAGTTAGTTACAAATATTTAGGAATATTCCAGCAATCTTTATGGTCCTGTATATATTATAAGATATCATAACTGAATGTGGTCACACTGAAATATCACATTTATGAATTTACACACCTGGAGTGTTTTCTGGACCCGGATGGTTTTGTCCATCTCTGAATTTGAGTAGTTCTCCGGAGCGTCCTTTAGAGGGCGGTATGCACAACACAGTGTGAAGGTCCCGATGTACAGGAGATACAGTAACAGCAGCAGCCTGACACCAGAAAAAAACCATTGTTAAACAAGACTGGACATGTGTACATGTCAGATATTTGACTTTAGACATCAATCTTTACCTGAAGTAATGTTTTCCATACAGGTTCCACTTCAGACTAACCAGCTGCCTCACAGGGGTCAGCTCCAGTATCCTTCTGCCCTGGAGAACAAAACATATGTTTTAATGTTCTTCCCATCAATACATCATCCTCTTTTTTTTTAACCAAAACACTTCATCTTGTGTTTTACCTCTCTCTGGTGGCTGCCCACGATGAGCTCCAGCACTGACATGTTGTCGGCCCATGAATCGATCTCCGACAGGTCATACAGGTTAGAGGTCAGAGGTCCTAGACTCCACTGGACTACACGTCTTTTATTAACCAGGTGCTGAAAAGCCTGAGAGAAAAAGAGCAAAGTAAAGCAGTGAGAATAGAACAAAAATGTGTTTTTTACCATGTGACCCCCCTCAGGCTTTACTCACCACAGTGTTTCCCTCTCGAGCAGCCAGTTTAAAAGGTGTAAGGCCTCGGTAGTTGGGCACCATGTCAAGGGGCAGTAACTGGTCCAGCTCTGCATCGCGTGCCATTATCAGTTCAATGGCCTGGCACGCAATTGTCTTGTTGGGCTGCAGAACCAAAATGTGAAGCACTGTGTTACCTAGACGAAAAACAAGGAAATACAGAAAACGTGGACAAGAAGAGATAGCAGAAGGAGTTTAATAATCAAAATATCAGACAGATGTTAATACTATAACACTCCGAAAAGAGGATGTAATTCATACCACGGTAATCCTGGACCCTGGTGCTGGCCCCTGCATCGATTAACATGGAGATGATGTCCTCATTCCCAGCACAGGCAGCAAAAGACAGGATGTGCTCACCTGTTAACCAAATGTATATCTTTAAAAACACCATCTCTTGTGTGGGCATTAACACATACATTTCTGCCTGCATATTCGTCTTGAGAAATATTGGGCTGTAAAGGTTTGTTGATTTACCATAGTATATGAGTCCTCCTATCCTTTTCCTGAAGTACAGACCGGTGACTCGAGGTGTGGCCACATCACCCCCACGAGTGATTAGATGATGAACCAGATTGATGTTCTGATTCACCACAGCGATGTGGAGAGGAGTAACACCTGAGACAGAGAGCAGTCTGTGCATTAGTCCACTGTACATTTAATGGTATTTATTGCACCTCTTTTTTAGGTGAGGCTCACAAATGTGCTATTAATAACAGTAGTAATATTCAACCTCTAGATGGTGCACTCTACACTATCGTCTATTGAATAAACGTCAAAACACTGTAGTTGGCAGTTTGATGAAAACCTGAATATTTCATGGACAATTTTGGCGGAGATTCCAAGTTAGCCAACTATCAAACTCTAGCGCTAGCTTACCGATCAAAAAGACATATGGCCGCCTCAGGCGAGATTTCGACCATTGCAACTAAGCCATTTTCGTTTTTTCCACATTAACTGGCAACTACTTGGTCGCGGACTACACCTTCTTATTATACATCCATGACTACACCGAGATACTACGTGACAAAACCCAGTCGTCATGCTATTGGCTCGTGGGCCTCGTTGGCAACGGCACCAGCGCCGACCACACAACAAATATCAGAGGTAAACAAACCATTCTCGACAACGTTTTATACACAATTGTATTTTTAGAAATTTATTTTTAATTATTCTGCAACTTGTACATGCTTAGCTGGTGTAATATTTGAAAAACAAATGTAAAATCTTACTTTAACAAAAGTTAATAAAGTACAGTAAATTATAAAGCTGTCAGATAAATAAGTGAAACGTAGCCTACAGTAGGCCTAGTATTTATCTTAAAAATGTTGTGGAGTTGAAGTATAAAGTAGCATAAAACAGCAATACATTACTTTCAAAATGTACCTAATTAAAGTAGTTTTACTCAGTAACTTTCCATCCCAGGTGCAGGGGCGGCGGTATACTGTAAGCTAGGGAAGGCTAAGCCTTCCCAAATATTTGTGTCACTGCATCCTGGTAAAATAAAAATATAATGTATAATGTTTGTGTCTTTGACATTAGCACTGCTATGCAGCCACCTGTGCCCTACTACGAAGCCAGCTCAACATACCCTGGATATGTTTGAGTTAACTAACCCTAACAAACGAAGCGGTCCTACGACGCTGGTTATCAAGTCGGTAAATCAAGCCAGTGTTTCTCTCTCCAGCTGAGAGCGCGTTCATGTGAAAGGGGCGGGGTTAGCAACATTTGACCAATCACAAATAGGGACAGCGCAGCGTCATAATTCATTAATGAAAAGTAAACTAATATTAGACAAATATGAACTTTAAACATCCATGACTTAAATATATAATCCAGGATACAAGCCACATACCTGCAAGGTGAATACAGAACAACTGGTTACAAAATAACTACCAAGTGTTTGAAAAGCGTACAACAGTTTTATGATATCACTGCCCCATCTAAGACACGAGTGGATCTGACTTTAATTACATTTGAGTTGAGTGTTTCGTCAACTTAATGTGTTGCTTAAAATAATACTTCTGCATACAGTATGCGACACTGTGAGTGTTGCACGGCCAGATACGGCTCAGCTGACTCAGAAATATATGATACATTATGATATTATATCGATGATCCAATTGATAATGTGATATGAATGATAAAGTGCGACACGTCGGCGTCTTCTCTGCATACGGCAGTTTAAACTGTATTTCCTTTATCCTGTGATATGACTTGATAGGTTTAAACTCCTCTGATTGGTCAGCAGGCGGTTTCACTGAGTTGATCTCTTTTCTATAGATGCGCAGGAGGCGGGCAGCGTCAGGAAAAACAAGTTATTTAGCCTTCCCAAACATGAGCCTATGCCCAGGTGTGCAACAATAAATAATGTCCTAGTCTTTTTAAGTGGACGATGAGGCTGTCAAGTGTTCATTTTTTTTTAAAATGATGCATGTTTTAGTTAGATGCTTGTATAAATGTTCACACCAAATAATTATACATTTACAAAAGCTCTTGTTATTATGAAAAATAAATCAATAAAGTTCCATATTTGAAGTGGTGTAAAAGTTATGTGGAAAGGCAATGAATTCAATGGATTAAAGTTCCCTCATTCTCCTACAGCTCTTTTGTTGTATCTCCAAATATTTGTTAGGCACCTATAAGATGTGATTGTGCTGTTTCTGTGAGTTTATGTGTATGAACCTTGGAAGAGCTCGGAGGTCATGGGCTCGTTGATGAGTTCAGGCGCTCCGTCCATCAGAGCCACGGCAGCTTCCAGGCTATCACTCATCACAGCAACATGGAGTGCTGTCTCACCAAGAGCCCCTGATTTGAAAGGATTACAATTTCAAACATTACAACTACTGCTTCACCGCCCTGAATATCACAGCCTACAGCAAAGGGCCTTACCTCTCTCAAAAATGTTGGTGGATGCACAACTCAGCAGTTTCCTGATGCACCCAACACTGTTCTTTTTAGCCGCATAGAAGAGAGGAATGTCATTTATGCTAAAGAAGGACAAGATAAACAACACATATAATATATTTAAACAGGTTGGCTTGACACATGCATAGAACAATGTAGACTTAATCTAATTTATTGTTGGAAGATGTTGGAAAAGGCAACTAGTCTGAGTCTCTTACTATTTGGAGTGGAGCATAAACGTCTCATCTAACATCTCGTTCCATCCTTTCTTGTTTTGAAGGCGAAACCTCAGCTGGCTCCACCAATGGTTGAGCTCGCTCGGAGCAGATCTCGCAAAAGACGGAGACATTAACACCTGATGTCCGACTGGAGGAAAAAAAGGAAAGTTGAGTTTAGGACACACAGAGAGAGAATCATTGAGTTGAAAAAACTATCACAATGAAATATAGTGTACTATCATATAGGTATTATTGAGTCCTTGGAAATTGATTATTGTATTCAGTTATACTGTTTGAAAATAGAACAAATAAAGAAAATGTCTCAGTCTTACCCTTAAACAATAGAAATGTTACTCCTATGCTTCTGGTAATCCTCAGTCATAACACCCTGTCACAGTTGGACACAACACCTGTAAAATGTCGCTGAGGAGAACTGAATTTGGCATCACTAACATTATTATATATGAACCAAGCCATGGGGGCGGAGGCTGTGAAGGTCTGAGAATGAATAGGTGGAGAGGGAGGGTGAGTGAATAGTGGACAGGTAAGACAGAGAGAGTGTGTCAGTAATGAGCAGGTAGACTTACACCACAGGTTGGGAATCCCACAGTGAAAGTTACGCTTTAAGGTTTAACTCACCGTTTGACTGGGAACTCCTTTATCGTGCTGACCTGAAATAAATGGCTGTATTCCTTCACCTTAAAAGCCTAGTGACAAGGATCCAGTCCCTAGATCTAATATCTCTGTAGTCACCAAGCCTGTCCGCATTCCACCACCTACCACCAAAACCTGCGTGACCGCTATGAAAATTCAGCTAAATCCTGACTATCAACAAATTGCAATCATTGTTTCAAGTGAACCATTCAAAGGAACCTGTTTGGAAATCGCAAGCTTGTATGTTTGAACCCGTGTTTGTAATTTAAACCTGATATTAATGCTTACACGCCAAGTTGCATAATTTCTGTTCTATTAGTTCGCAGATTTCTCGAGGTGAATCTGGGATTATTTGGTGGAGTAAATCTGAACATGATGTGTGATTTTCGAACATGTTGGATCTTGTACGAAAAGGCACAACAAGCTAGTTTCATTCACAATGATTTAACATGTTGACCACCACGGTAATTGCCACATTACAAAGACCATAATGATCGTTTGAAGGTTAGAAAACACCATGTCACTTTTCCTCTGAAGGCGGAAAACAAAGCTAATGGTGCATTGTATTTTTTTGTGAAATGATCAGCCTTTATTCTAAAAGTTATAACCCGACTGAACCCAATCACAGATTTAGATTCCACAACCGTGAAGTATTTGTAAACGGCTGAATCAGTCCACTTGTACAACCGCTCTGGTTGTCTGTTATGTAATGTTGCAGGTGTTTTGCTGCAGCATTTATAGGTCATGACTAACAGGCTGGTCAGCCAAAGGATAAACAGGATTTAGGGAGACTCTATAGGAGGCCCTGCTAATGGTTGCCGATGTGGCCGTCATTTAGTGTTGTGGAGTTAATAGCTGTTTACCAGACGGGGAGCACCATCTTTAAGCAGTGTCATAAAGACCAGTGGTCTCCACTCTGTTAATGTCTTTATAAAGAAACAATAACAACATACAAACATGATTTTGTGGTTTGTGTCTCTACTGTTTCTGGAAATACGTACAAGCATTTCTTTCACAACACTTTGTTGATTTGAGTCCCAGCAAACAATGATTACAGGCATCACTGGTAAATGTATAACAGTTGACAGATGCTCTTATTTAGAGTGACTTAACACAATGATCATGATATGAATACAATAAGAATACAATATATACATGATGATAATTCATACACTGTTGCCCATAAAGTTGGAATCAAATATTTTGTACCTCTTCTCATGAAATGGTTGTGACAATGTGATTTATTCTTGATAGATAACGTGCATATCCTCACCAAACGTTATTGATCAATCTCTTCCAAACATATCACAGCGATAATTAAACCACAATTAAAACAGGAATGTGTCTGAAAACAAAATTATTCCAACTTTATGGTCAACAGTGTATAACGTATTATTTTATTTTGATTCCAAAATTTGACTTAACCTTTACACTTTCAGTGTCTTAGTGTTTCTCAATGTATCCTTTTGCACAGGAGATTAATTTATATTCTGCGAAGCGACACAATCTTAAAATGCATTTTCTTTTCCTGGTTGCACTTTGATATCAAATGGAACATTGCCTGTATTGTGAACTCTCATATTTCTCAGTGGTGAATAAAGTATTCAGTTCCTTCCCCTGAGTCCAAAAATGCACAAGTGTAAAAGGGATATTTCCTGTTAGCTATGCAAACCAACTTGTTTCTAAAAAGCACTTTTACATTACATTACATTGCATTGCATTTAGCTGACGCTTTTATCCAAAGCGACTTACAATAAGTGCGTTCGACCAATAAAGTACAAACTTGAAGAAAACAGAATCATATAAGTACATCAGGTTTCATAGAACTAAAACATTTCAAATGCTAGTCAACTGATAAGCCAATCCTTTATTAGTATACAAGTGCTTTGTTAATAGTTCCATCGCTCGAAGTGGAGTCGAAAGAGATGAGTTTTCAGTCTGCGCCGGAAGATGTGTGAGCTTTCTGCTGTCCTGATGTCAATGGGGAGCTCATTCCACCATTTTGGAGCCAGGATAGCAAACCCACGTGTTTTTGCTGATGGGAACTTCAGTATTTTCCTGAAGTAGTAGTTTACTATTTGTAAAAGTACTGAATTACTTTTAACCACTGGATATTTATTGTGTTTGTATACGTCTTGATCGGGACTGTTATCAAAATAAAGTTGCAAGGGTTTTAAATAATGTTTGCATGCGTTTGTAGAAATAATGTAGCAGTCTGTCATTGAGACTACCCTCCAGTCTGATACAGAAAGATACAGCACTGTTCCAGCCACATCAGAGTGGCAGAATAACGTGTAAGCGACTTGCTATCAGTCCAGATCTGCTGTGATATCAGCAACAGCGGGGCATGCGGGAAACCGGTGTCTGTTCTTAGACTACTGCTGATCCCAGCAGATCCCACACTCAGATTTTACTAAAATCTGCTGATCTGTGAAACCTGAAGCACCCGAAGTTCACTCTTTAACTTTGTGAAGGTGATATCAGCGCATCAAGGTGAAAATGTTGTCATTTACTTTGTAGCTGCATTAAAGCTAAAACTCGGGCAAAAGTTCATATATTCTTCTCTAAGTTAGCGCTGAGCTTCAGTCTGCAATGTTCAAAACAACAGATAAAGCCAGAAATCTAGGTGTAGTCATGGACTCTGACCTGAGTTTCAACAGTCACATTAAAACAGTTACTAAATCAGCCTACTATCACCTAAAGAATATCTAGGATTAAAAGACTAATGTCACAGCAGGATTTGGAAAAACTTGTCCATGCTTTTATCTTCAGTAGACTGGACTACTGTAATGGTGTCTTCACAGGTCTCACTAAAAAATCTATTAGAAAGCTGCAGCTGATTCAGAACGCTGCTGCTCGAGTCCTCACTAACACTAAGAAAGTGGATCACATCACTCCAGTTCTGAAGTCTTTACACTGGCTTCCTGTGTGTCAAAGAATAGATTTCAAAATACTGCTGCTGGTTTATAAAGCTTTGAATGGTTTAGGCCCAAAATACATTTCTGACCTCCTGCTAAATTATGAACATTCCAGATCTCTCAGGTCTTCAGGGACTGGTCAGCTTTCTGTCCCCAGAGTCAGAATTAAACATGGAGAAGCAGCGTTCAGTTATTATGCTCCAAATATCTGGAACAAACTCCCAGAAACCTGCAGGTCCGCAGGCTGAAGACTTTTCTTTTTGTCGCTGCTTTTAATTGAGCTATTCACATCTTAAACTGCACTGTAACTTTTATCCATGTATTTTTTCTTTTAATGTTTCTTTTATTATCTTTTTTTTTTAATGACTGATTTTAAATGCCATTTTCTTAATGTCTTTCATTTTTTGTAAAGCACTTTGAATTGCCTTGTGTTGAAAGATGCTATATAAATAAACTTGCCTTGCCTTGCCTATAGAGATAAGTTGGCATGGATGGATGTGGTAGCTGAATACTTTGACCTTGCATAAATATATTTATATTTTTAACCACATGAAACCTTCATTAAACATAACATCACATTTATGAACCATTGTCCTTTAGTTAGGCACCAACCCATCAGTCAAAAGGAAGGTTAACTAGATAAGGCTAAATTGCTAATATTTAATTAGGTGTTCAAAATGTGTGTTGTGCTGAGCCTGGTCCATTTAGACTTATTTTTGGCATCTTTTTGGAAGAGAAATATCTTAAAAACGAATTACATTTTTATAAGCCTCAGTGGTACCTTGTGTCTAGTACTTAAAACCAGATGTTAGCATGCTAGCTAAACTAAGATAGTGAACATAAGGAGTTTGCTAAACAAAAGCAGGGTTAGCATGATTAATATGAGCTTGTGTTCGCATGCAAACATTAGCATTTACCTCAAAACACCTGTAGTTTCACAGACCTGCTAGCATAGCTCTTCGTCCTGTTCCCCCTTGTTATTAACTAAATGTATCTCACATTTTATCTCTTTCAATGTTTGTCCCTATGATGATGCTAGCTTAGGCTAAGTCTAAATCATATTTACTCAAACGCTCAAATGAAATACTACCATTAAATAAATAAAAAACTTGAGTAGCTGGTAAAACACTTAACTTGCTCACAAATAACACAAGTAGCAAAATATTAAATAAAATCATATCATTTATTTTACAAATTTGCACAATTATGGAATAGTGGTGAACAAGTAAACACTGCTAATAATGTGTGTAGCCTGACACACACACACACACACACACACACACACACACACACACACACACACACACACACACACACACCATGATGTACAGCATAAACCTGATGTACACATTAACATTAACACAGCCTCATTTACAGCACAGACAGACGACTACATACTTACAAAGCATTTCGCCTCCTTCCTTCAAGTGTTAATCAGATCCGATTTTGTCCGTCTTTCCCATTTCACACATTCACAACGCTTCAATGACTCAGTGTCTTTACTCTAGCAATCAAACAACTAGAAGGTGGAGTGTGAAATGTACACATAAAGGTGGGTGCTGCATGGTTCTGTCTTCATCGCAGATGGACATTGTGTTTGCAGCTGAGGTGAAGATTGCAGTTTTACAGTACATGAGCTCTGAGACAAAAGAGTGAGAGTGAGTTGTACAAACTGCATATGTCTATTAAAATAGGAAATACATGGCTTAAAGTTCTTAAAAGCTTTTTTTGTTTCATTTTAGTTTTTACAATTTCATGGCAGTGACTCATATCTAACCTCAGGGTATTCGGCTCTGATTTAGGTGGTTAAAAACATTTTTTTTGAACAAATAAACAAACTGTACATTTTGAAAGCTAAAAGTAATACCTTATAGGGCAAACCATAGGCTGCTAGGTAGTATACTGTTTTGTTTCTTGCTAACAGTTTTTTTTTAGCATTTGGCGATTAAGGAGAAGGGAAGTGATACAACTTTACAAATAACACAAGAAATATTAGAAAAAGGCTTTGATTGTCTTTACGCAATTCTTTGTGTGGAGAGATCTCCATAAGTATACTAACAAAAACATTTCAATATTCTTTTGTATTCAATGAGGACGGGAAAATTGAAGGTTTCATGGAGGAACAGTAGTTTAAGAGTAGGTGAGAGAGGTAGGACTGCAGGAGAGAAGAAGGCAGACAACAATAAAGTGAATTCTAGTGAAAAACATTGAGGAATGTTCAAAGTCCTCCTTCTCCTCAGAAACTCCGTAACCCCACTTTGACCTGGACTGCAGCTCCCATAGTGCATCTCTCTTCTGTCATTTGTCGTGAGTGTCTGTCAGAAAGTCCGATCCTCTTTTTCACAACTTCTGGTTGTAGTGCTGGATGTAGTGTAGAAGAATACACAGAGTGGCACTTGATGATTTTCCTTGCAAACAAAAGCTGATTCTCTTTTTTGTTTTGCCCGAAGATGTGCTCAACCAAAATGAATGAAACCAGATACAACAAGCAGAGGATTGGGAAAAGCGCAAAAATCCATGGCGCAGGTTGTACTGTCGGTGCGTGTCACACCTCCACCTGCCCCTGCGACAGATAGGCTTTGAGCTGCTGGGTTGCATTGAAGATCTTCCTCTGGTGTCCAAGCAGGTTCACCCCCAGATTATGGATGTCTCTGCAGAAGAGAGCAAAAGAACCGGGGAGTTTAGTTCAACACTTGTTGTTAACTCCACCTGATATTTAAAGGTCAGAAATGTTGGGTTGCATGTCTATAAAACCCTGTGGTGGCTCAGGCGTTTATTGATGCTCATACTGACTTTTGTAAAATGTTTTCTTTAGTACTTTGGCTTATCTTAATTTTTTCCTTTACTATTGAACTTTCATATGTGCCAGATACATAAGAGGTTCACTTACTTACTTAATTAAGCTCCAGAGAACAGCCTCAGCACTCTCCGGTAATTTGTCTATTTAT